AAAAATGGTTTAATAGTAATGATGTTCATTATAGTATGCCACTGTATTGATGGTTACGAGTTTTCTAATTAAAAATATTAAAATTACAGTATTTCACTAAACATGTTACTTAATAAATAAACAAGTTCAATATAATTACCTTTGTTGTTAGATTTAATAGATTCCTTATGCCCTCTAAATGTCAATTCTTGCTTTGATAAAAAACATATAACATCTATCATACATATATGTCTCTTTAATCCGAAAAATTACAAGAATTCCGGTAGACTATCTTACAGCCTTTAGGTCAGGAACATCCTTTAAATAAAAATTATTTAACGCTTCTGTCTTTAATTCATAAAACTACAAACATATGTGCAAATGTACCTTATACAAATAAATATTTGGCTTTAAAACACTATTATGTATCTATCTATTTTTACGGAATTTATCGATAAACTAGCAGACCCCCCGCCACGGGTTGTTGTGGCTCAAAATGTATCTATTATAAATTTATAACACTTCCCCCGTGGGGAGGGAAATTTTTCGAAAAATTTCTTCTTAGTGTACATTCTCTTGACGTACCCTATTAAAATGCAATCAAAAACGCAAAAACCCGCATCTAAAATAGTATCATAGAAGNTGCTCTATCTCTCTACTGCTCTGAAGACTACAAGTACCTATGCTCTATCTCTCTACTGCTCTGAAGACTACAAGTACCTATGCTCTATCTCTCTACTGCTCTGAAGACTACAAGTACCTATGCTCTATCTCTCTACTGCTCTGAAGACTACAAGTACCTATGCTCTATCTCTCTACTGCTCTGAAGACTACAAGTACCTATGCTCTATCTCTCTACTGCTCTGAAGACTACAAGTACCTATGCTCTATCTCTCTACTGCTCTGAAGACTACAAGTACCTATGCTCTATCTCTCTACTGCTCTGAAGACTACAAGTACCTATGCTCTATCTCTCTACTGCTCTGAAGACTACAAGTACCTATGCTCTATCTCTCTACTGCTCTGAAGACTACAAGTACCTATGCTCTATCTCTCTACTGCTCTGAAGACTACAAGTACCTATGCTCTATCTCTCTACTGCTCTGAAGACTACAAGTACCTATGCTCTATCTCTCTACTGCTCTGAAGACTACAAGTACCTATGCTCTATCTCTCTACTGCTCTGAAGACTACAAGTACCTATGCTCTATCTCTCTACTGCTCTGAAGACTACAAGTACCTATGCTCTATCTCTCTACTGCTCTGAAGACTACAAGTACCTATGCTCTATCTCTCTACTGCTCTGAAGACTACAAGTACCTATGCTCTATCTCTCTACTGCTCTGAAGACTACAAGTACCTATGCTCTATCTCTCTACTGCTCTGAAGACTACAAGTACCTATGCTCTATCTCTCTACTGCTCTGAAGACTACAAGTACCTATGCTCTATCTCTCTACTGCTCTGAAGACTACAAGTACCTATGCTCTATCTCTCTACTGCTCTGAAGACTACAAGTACCTATGCTCTATCTCTCTACTGCTCTGAAGACTACAAGTACCTATGCTCTATCTCTCTACTGCTCTGAAGACTACAAGTACCTATGCTCTATCTCTCTACTGCTCTGAAGACTACAAGTACCTATGCTCTATCTCTCTACTGCTCTGAAGACTACAAGTACCTATGCTCTATCTCTCTACTGCTCTGAAGACTACAAGTACCTATGCTCTATCTCTCTACTGCTCTGAAGACTACAAGTACCTATGCTCTATCTCTCTACTGCTCTGAAGACTACAAGTACCTATGCTCTATCTCTCTACTGCTCTGAAGACTACAAGTACCTATGCTCTATCTCTCTACTGCTCTGAAGACTACAAGTACCTATGCTCTATCTCTCTACTGCTCTGAAGACTACAAGTACCTATGCTCTATCTCTCTACTGCTCTGAAGACTACAAGTACCTATGCTCTATCTCTCTACTGCTCTGAAGACTACAAGTACCTATGCTCTATCTCTCTACTGCTCTGAAGACTACAAGTACCTATGCTCTATCTCTCTACTGCTCTGAAGACTACAAGTACCTATGCTCTATCTCTCTACTGCTCTGAAGACTACAAGTACCTATGCTCTATCTCTCTACTGCTCTGAAGACTACAAGTACCTATGCTCTATCTCTCTACTGCTCTGAAGACTACAAGTACCTATGCTCTATCTCTCTACTGCTCTGAAGACTACAAGTACCTATGCTCTATCTCTCTACTGCTCTGAAGACTACCTATGCTCTATCGGTCTATTGCTCTGGAGACTACTTATGATTAATTTATCATAGGTAGTCTTTCTCGGATATGTCGCTCTCCGTTCCTTATCACTCTGCCGTTCCCATTATGTGTCTGGGCGAACCTGTGATGGATATGATTAAAAACCTCTAAATGCCACAGAGTGGAAAGAATAAAATTAAAGATTATCAACCTGATTGTTCATTCATTATTTCTATGCATTTAAGGATACATAAAAATCGATGTATTACATCTTTGATATAACGTTTCATAAATATACGATACGTTATTGTAAAATTGTAAAAATGGTTTAATAGTAATGATGTTCATTATAGTATGCCACTGTATTGATGGTTACGAGTTTTCTAATTAAAAATATTAAAATTACAGTATTTCACTAAACATGTTACTTAATAAATAAATAAATATTTGTTTATTTTGTCCATGCCTCGTGTCTATAATAGACAATTTATAAAAATATTTGCGTTAGTATAAAATTAAATCATATATTTTATTATGAAAAACTGCAATTTCTTCAAAAACACAATACATTAGCAATAAAAGTAACGAATTCTGAAGTTATTAAACTACAAATTTCGTAAACTTTAAATGTAATTTCTATTTATGTAATTGTCATATAATTAATTTAAAATAAAAATTAAATTTAAAAATTCTTACTACTGCAAACTATCAACAATAAATTTTAAAAAATATATATTTTTTAAATGGAAATTTGATTCATAACCTGAAATCTATTATTTCTTTCATTTCATATAACATCCCATTATTCATGTTAGTGTATTTAAAAAATATTAATTTATATACAATAAAATGTTTATATTCTTTTTATGTAACGACTGATTATAATTAATTCCTTAAATATACATATGTATTTTTAAAATAATCTTATTTCAACGCTAATTAAAAGAAAACTAATTTCCTCTCGCATATTTATTAAAGTTTTTCATCTTTTAGGGAAAACAGACAATTATATTAAAACGAAATATGACCGTTCTTCTAAACTCATTTATCTGAGTTAGGAATGAAATGAAGTTACGACGAAACACTGAGAATTTATTGCATTGTTGCCATAAAAATAATTTACTTTTACAGCTAATAAAACAATAATGTGACGTATATAGAAATAGAAGAACTCGTCTTTCTGATCTTTTTAACCATCATTTCTTTTACTGAAAAATTACAATTTTTATTTATTTATATACCCTTCAAATTAGATAACTCTTGCCAAGAATTGTACAAATTTCAATTGTAGAGAACGGAGTTTTCTATTATTTCTTTCTCTATTTGTTCTTCTAGGAAGACCATGAACAAACACATGGACTTTATATATTTGGGAAATGAATTCTGTTATAATTAATAGTAATTATATTTAAAAAATTATACGTTCAGATGCAAAAATCGATTTTAATTCCATCATTCTTTCTGTAATCTATTATATATTTACAGTTTGAACGAAACTATTTTAATTAATTGAAAAAGAACTATCCCATATTGCATTTGTAGTTCCAATTATTTTCATACGTAATTAATCTCTAAAATATATAACAAGGAAAATTATTTGATTGAAGCAATCTTTCGTTTGTAAACAACTCTAAAGCAAATTATTTAATTTAATAAAATATTAAATATTTTGATATATTATATAATTACAATAGTAATTAATTATAATTTACTTATCAGTATCATTTCTAAGTTAATTACTTATATATAATTTTAATCTGTAATACAGTATAATAAATGTATTCGTATTATTTTAAAACTTCAACTCGAATTATAGTAGTAATAATATTGGAATTGACGTTTCCAATTAATATTTTTAAACTTACATATACAAAATTTATATATATATATTTAAATATAATTTTTATATTTAATAAAGCTGAAATGGCGTTTTATAAGAATATAAAACTGTATAAACGAATGTTTTTAATTTTTCATAAATTAGCAATTTTTAAAACGTTATTCACATACATTATTAAATTAAGGTATGCGACTTATATAAATTAAAAGTTAAATAATAAATTATGTCATAAATTAAAATCAAAAATTAATTTAAATCATTTAAATTAAAATTAAACCGTATATTTTATTTTTTTAAATGTAATTTTGCCATAATTATATTAACTTTAATAATATAACTTTGTTCTTTAACTCTGCTTTCTTTCTTCAACTTAGCAATTTCTCTGACACGCTGCTGTTCTGTTAATTTGTGATGCTGCGATTCCTCTTTCATTTTATTTAAAAGTTGAACCTTCATCTTTTTCATGTCCAAAACTTCCTGTCTTAATTGCTTAACTTGCTGTTCATACTGAGATTGATTTCGCATTAATTGAGCATGTTCTTTCTTAGCTGCTTGTAATTTCTTTAATTCACTTTGCATAGAACCTAGTTTTCTTTCATAATCACTCTTCACTTTTAATACTTTGTCTTTCATGTTTGTTTCTGTACTTTTTTCAAACTGTCTAAAACTTTATCTCTCTCAATTTCTGTTTCACGTATTTTCATTTGCAGCTGAATTAACTTCTCTTCATAATTCTGGCGTAAAGTTTGAAGCCTCTGCTGACTCAATTCTAATTCTTCTATTAATTTTTGTTTTATAGAAATTTCACAAGTCAGTTTAGCTAAATCTTCAGTATACTTTTCTGTTTCTTCTGCTTCAGAATCTGATGAGCTATCATCATCATTTTCTTTTATCTCTTTTTCTTCATTTTCTTCTAATTTATCATCATTTTCNTGTAAATATAGCATGAGATCTCGAAGATTGAGAATTCATTTGTGTACTTGCTGTAGTTCTAGACAAAGCACCCATCCTTAGACAACGCCTCGTCTGCATGATGTTTAAATTATTTTACAAGTTACTTTATTATATGATGTACCATTACATTTATTATAATGAAAATGAGATTATGAGCTTAGTAATTTATCAATTTAATGACTTTATAACACCGTAGAGAATGAAACTAAATATAGACAGCATTAAGATACAGCTGATATAAAAATACCTTTTTTTGATTTTTAATTAATGAGTTAGTTTTTTGAGTTAGTAATTAATACATTTGATTTTGACATTTTCTTCCACATTTTATCCAGTACAGAAAACAAAACACAAACATTGTAAAATCTATCTTGGCTTAATCAGATGACACCTTAGAAGTTACACTTTAAATTATGAAGTCTAAGCTCATATCTCTGAACAAAAATATTTGATAAAATTTACCTCCTCTACACTTGTTACTGGCTGAGTTATTACACCTACAGTATAAATTCCTCCAATTGCATCTTCGTGGATTTTAATATGAGACTTTTTCCCCTATATTTAGAATAATTATAGAAAATGAAATGATATAAATGAATTATTATATTGTTCAAATGTTAAGAAAAAATTTTCCAGAACACTAATTTCTCATGCTTCATAGAATATTGGGTGTGTCTTAATTTTTGCATGACTACATTTCATATCAAAAGTGAATACAAGTGGAACTAGTGAAGAATTTAATTTAGACTTTAATGCATGGGAAATTTTCAGCAGGTTAATCAATAAATAAATCTAAACTTTCAAACCCAGAATAGTTTTCAATTATAATTTTTGGAATAATGTAAACAAATTCTCACTCACTTTTTGTTCAGGATCTCTTGCAGTGTCTAACAAATCTAAGATTTCTTCATTATATAGCTAAAAAAAGAAGCAAAATAAAAGGTTAAATTTCAATTTCAGGTATATAAAATTAAAATTTTAAATAATTACCTCCATAAATTGAGCATTAATTTTGAATTCAGGTGGTATCATTCCCTTTTCTTTAGCTTCCTCTTGTCTCTGTTTAATACCATCAAATAAATGTTGCATGGCTCTTGGTATTATTCCTATTTCTTCGGGCATCACATTCACGTCAAATCCAGTTCCCATTGTGTACGTTTTTCCANATTAATTTTGAATTCAGGTGGTATCATTCCCTTTTCTTTAGCTTCCTCTTGTCTCTGTTTAATACCATCAAATAAATGTTGCATGGCTCTTGGTATTATTCCTATTTCTTCGGGCATCACATTCACGTCAAATCCAGTTCCCATTGTGTACGTTTTTCCAGATCCAGTCTGAATTTTTATGTAGATNTTTTCATTTGCAGCTGAATTAACTTCTCTTCATAATTCTGGCGTAAAGTTTGAAGCCTCTGCTGACTCAATTCTAATTCTTCTATTAATTTTTGTTTTATAGAAATTTCACAAGTCAGTTTAGCTAAATCTTCAGTATACTTTTCTGTTTCTTCTGCTTCAGAATCTGATGAGCTATCATCATCATTTTCTTTTATCTCTTTTTCTTCATTTTCTTCTAATTTATCATCATTTTCTTCTTCTTCACTAATAAGATTATAAAAATTATCATCGAAATTGAAAAAAATTATTATTTTTATTCAAAAATTACCTTTTTTCTTTTAATGTTTTTGAGCATTCAATTAGTTTTTATACTTCTGTTTTTGCTTCCATTAGAACATCATCTACATTACCATCAGTATATGGTGTTATTGCATATTGGCCAGATACTGCAACAGTTGCTGCATGAGGACTCAATGGAAATAATGTTTTAGGCCTTTGACTTTGTTTCCTTAACTGTGAACACGTTTCTTCTGATTCCATTAGTTTAGCCCTAAGTTCTTCAATTTCTTTTAAGTAACCTTGTATCATTTGTGTGATTTCAGATTTTGAATTTGTATCACCTAAAAATAGTTAACTTTTGAATTTTATGCAAATCTTTAAATATTAAGAGAAAAACAAAATTTTTGTATTTTTTTGTTTATAATTTCAGTTGGTTAATTGATAAAAATTGCAATGCTAATGCAAGACTTATGTAAGCTACTAGCCAGAGTAAAAATAAGAGTACCAGGTTCTATCCATTGTCCACTTGCTTTCTCAGCTAGAAGTTCAGTGTTACGAGCTGTTAACCTTTCTATAGTCTCCTGGAGCGCTTTGATTCTTGTCCTGAGATTGTTATTTTCTGCCTGCAGCATTGTATTTTCATGAAACATATCATTAATCTGTTCTGTGCCATCTTCACCCACAATTCGCTGATCAGTGATATTATATAAACATGCAAAAACTTACTTTTCAAACTGTCTAAAACTTTATCTCTCTCAATTTCTGTTTCACGTATTTTCATTTGCAGCTGAATTAACTTCTCTTCATAATTCTGGCGTAAAGTTTGAAGCCTCTGCTGACTCAATTCTAATTCTTCTATTAATTTTTGTTTTATAGAAATTTCACAAGTCAGTTTAGCTAAATCTTCAGTATACTTTTCTACAAACAAAAAAATTTTATATATTAACTGTGATCTTATATTATATTTTATAACAATTNTCATCAAGAAATTGTAAATGGCGTAAAACTCTAAACACATTAAAAATATACCATTTTAATGTTATTAAAACTAAAATTAATGAAGCTTTTCAAAAAAAAAAAAAAAAATATTAAAAAATCTGTTATAATACAGCTTATTTGATGTAAATTTGACAAAATTGATTCGGATCACATCGCGACGTAGCGCTTCGCGTCACGATGCGGTCTGATGCGATGCGACGATTGTTAATTTTTACATACCAAAATAAAATTATGAATTAAAATAATAACATTTCTAAATTTCTCTCAAATGATTTAAACTCTTAAAATAGCCACAGCTTAACCAAACCAAGCTTTTATACTGCATTTAAACTAATTATGCAGTCAGATCTATATATAATGGCGGCTGATGGATACATAAAACGTGACTGATACTTCGGAGCTGGTGTTATTTGGAGGTTCGACTGTAATAATAATAAAAATAATAATTTAATGGAATTTTTCCATATCAATCTACAAGTAATTTAATAATTTAATTAAATATTGAATATTCTACGTTACATATAATTTTATATAGTGCGATTATCCGATGAAATTCGGATATACAGTATTTTTATTTTCTTATAGAATAGGCAAAACATGTACAGTACACTCCCCGATAATTAGTAGGGATTGCAGAATTTTTTTTTTTTTAGTTTGCGGCGCATCTGACGAGGAGACAAAGTGAACAACTCAAGCAAGGATTCGCAGAGGGGGGAAGATAAAAGGTCGCACATAATGGCAGTGAACCCGAAAGAGGAAACGGTTTAACGAGAAACGTAGTTTAGCGACTTGCTCAATAGATGACTCATACCCGGGATCACGGTAGACGGCTTCTCCTGAACAAAAATATACTTTTTGTCTCATTAAAAATTACCTTATGCTCGCGGATGAGAAAAAGGTGAGGAGAATGTACTTCTACGAAAAATCGATGCAGTCAAGCTATTATTACGTCTGCAATATTTAATTTTTATCTCTTCTGCGCCAATTATTTTTCTTATACAATTCCACTCGATATAGTACTAAAGATAATGTAGATTATCTTATTATTTGCTTTCGAACACGTAACAACACTTAAAAAGCATAGTTCTACACGATTTTATGCAGTCGAAAACAAGCGTGTATGTAAATCTATCGGAAGTATTGTGACGTATTTTAAAATTTTAAATTTGAAATTTACTCACCTGACAGCGACACGTACGCAAGTGTCGGTTGACATTGTTTAATTATTAAATAGTCGAAATTTAGCTATCTCGATATAATTAAGACGTACATATCCGACAAATGTTGACCTCGTGTGCAATCTGAGGGCGAATTCTACAGATGACAAATAAAATTTTTAAAACATATATTAAATTCCTATATTAACTAAAAGAAAAAAAATAGAATCTATAGTGTTTTGGATTTTCAGAATATGGACTTTAAGAGGCTATGAAATTTGAACTTTCTAAATGAACTTCAGAATCAGATAATGTGACTACAAAAGATAATTTTCAATAGTTTCAAATGTCCAATTTTATTACTTGCATAATTATCATAGAATTAAAATATTTCAACTAAAATGATAACTATTTAAAGTAGGTTAATATTGATTATAAAAATAAACTTTTAGAAAATCTAATTTTTGTTGATAAAAATATATTTTAAAATATAGTAAAGACACAATAACATTTTATTATATAGACCATTTAAACAGGCTATTTTTAAAACATAAAATTTGATTTTATCTCATTATATTAGTTTCTATTTTTATAAAGATTATTTTAAAAGAAATTATAAATCATAGCTTTAAAATTTTCACGAATATGCTACTTATACTGATTTTTCAGAATAATAAATTGATTTAAGGTAATCCTGTGGAGGTTAAGGTGTCAGCCTTCCGCTCTGGAGATCTGAAATCGAATTCAGCCGAGCAACGTTCCATAAATTTTTCATGGAAGTTATATCTCGGATATTTCTGCTCCCTTCTTCACTACCTGGTCGTCTCCGCAGTCTTGGCCTAATCAAAGGGAATGGGAAAAAGATCTTAATGCCACAAGGCGAAAAAAAACCAAAAATTAAAAGGGAAAAATAATACAGAATTGAATTAACTAGAGAGAAACGATGATTTTATTTGCTCAACAATGTTCCACATGGGACTTCATTCCTCAACAAATTTTTCTTTTATCATGTTTAGTTGAAAGTAGAAATACTCCCAATAAACTTGCTTTAGTACATTTTGAATTTAAATAAAATTACTGTTATTATTATTATTTTCAACTTTAAGAATCTTTCAGCACTTACCACTGTAAACGGAAGCGTAAGCAAGGTTTTCAGTGAAATATTGAAATTTGGGAGAATCTTCTGCATGTCTTTCGATGAGTAACCTTCCTGTACTCTCGCTATCTTTTGCTTGTACAGTACATTATTGAAAATCATTTTTGATAATGTAAGCAATTTATACGTAAAATCTGCTCCATTGATATCTTTTTTATAACTATTAGATAAAAACAGAGACGGACTGGTCTTAGGGCAGTTCTGGCAAATGCCAAAAAGAGCGGTGTCAAAATAGGCCGATACTGTTAAAAATTGTAGAGGAGAAGGTGGTATTTGGAACCCCATTTCATTTTAGTGAATTGTAAACAAGGTATCATAACTACACCCACATTTTTTGTGCGAAAAGTACTGTAACTATTAAACTAAATGTTCCTAATTGGATTTTTCGCTAGTGTAACCATAAGTATGGTTTTTGAAGGCTTTCGTACAAAAAGTCAGAAAGTAGGCTTAGGGAAAACCGGGTGGTAATATGGAACCTTAATGTATGTTTTCAAAAAATGCTTTAATGTATCCTAAAACAANAATTAAATATTGAATATTCTACGTTACATATAATTTTATATAGTGCGATTATCCGATGAAATTCGGATATACAGTATTTTTATTTTCTTATAGAATAATTATACAGTAATTTAATCATTATCAAAATTACAATTTTACATATTTCTTATTAATCTTATTAACTTTTTTATTTCAGTATTCTTAGAATAAATAAGGAAATAACAATTTTCTTCCTCGTTAGCTTGTTTTATCCTATAAATAACTTACAATTCGAGTTTCTCTTATCTGGAGAAAAAACGGAAATAAATTTTCAAAAAATTAAACAAAAATACAGATTTATGCTCATTATAAATTTTTAAAATAATACAAAAACTATCAGCAATAGTAGAAATTTATTATCATTATTTTACAAATTTTACTTTACATGATTCTGATATTTCTGATTATCATCGTAATATTTTCATAGTATAATTTATTATGTTTTATCAAAATTAACTTTATTTTAGGGATATAAATTATAGTTTAAAACATTAATCTGAAACGTTTGTGAAAACCTGAATATTCAATTTTCAATTGCTTTATATTATAGATAGAATTTTGACATTTTGAAATCATTTCTCCATTTTCGAGGATTTAAAGACATTTTTTTTCTAATTTCTTTCATATTGATGTATCCACAACCTAATTCATTTGATCTGCTTTTGCATGCTTTGCAATAGATCTTGTTTAACTTGAATAAATCTCCAGATTTTATCTAGATTTTCTATTCAAAATCATAAAGAAAACGTTTTGTATTAAACAGGAACTTTCTAATCGAATTGTACTTTATGGATTCAAGAGCAAATCTGAAACCATTACTAAGTTAACGCCAATTTTTTCCAGTTTGCAATACAAATTTCTATCAATATATACAATTACAATACAAATTTCGGCATATACAATTATAGTATTAGGTTATAGTAGTTGCGTATGAGCAGGGCCATAAGATAAACAACTGCAACGTAGGACCTCGCATTATATTTCTATAGCTTAGGGCCTAAGCAAACTGGAAAAAATTGGCGTTAACTTAGTAATGGTTTCAGATTTGCTCTTGAATCCAAAAAGTACAATTCGATTAGAAAGTTCCTGTTTAACACAAAACGTTTCCTTTATGATTTTGAATAGAAAATCTAGATAAAATCTGAAGATTTATTCATGTTTACGAATGATCTTTTTATCTATTATTTTAAATTAATAGGAAATGTTATACAGTACATATGCAATATTTTCAGAATGAAGGAAAGCGGAATTTAACAATTAATGAAAATTTTGAATCAATTCCACTTAAAATTAAATTTTACTATTTTAAAATCATATTTTAAACAGCCATAACTGAATTTATGTATGATTAAAAAAATTTTACAATATTATTTAACATAAAATAGATACTGTATGCAATATGAAAAATAAAAAACAAATTTCGTTTTTATTTTTTAATATAAAATGAAACTTTTAAAATTGTATCTTATAGGTTCTGTAAGTTGATAAATTAAAAACATATACAGTATTTTAAATTTTATTCTTTATGCACATATATTCTTCATATACTCAGCGGCGGCCTTATCCATTGCGAGGCTCTGGGCGGCAGATCTTTGCGAGGCCCTTGTCCTTTGTGCAAAGTATGTGAATTGAAATAGTAGGCACTTATTAATATTAATATATACTGTACTATAAATTAAATTTATTTTATTGTTATAACTAATAGCCAAGGATAAAATAAAAAGTTTTAAATATCAACTTTTTTCTACTTGGTTGTTGCGCGAGGCCCCTCCAAGAGCGAGGCCCCGGGCGATTGCCCTGCTCGCCNACCGGCATTCCCGATATGATGAATCTCGCAGTTTCTAAACATCAATATTACTATTTCAAAAACTCTATTTCTATAAAAATACATTAAGATGATAGAACCATTTGATGCACCTTTGAGTTCCCGCGCTACAACCCTATACAACATTTGTCAATGGCTACAAGATAAAGATATATCGGTAATAAAAACTGAAATAACGGGTTAAAAAAAGATAAATAAATAAATAACTCTAAGGCCGCCACTGCATATACTTCCTGTGTTA